TGAAGTCAAAACCCCGGAGGGGCACACTCTTCGGGCCACTGACCACATGTGCAAGGCGTTTCGGCGGCACTTCGAGAACCGGTTTACTAAGGAGCCTGGTCTCCGTGAGAAGGAGTTTCGTAGCTATTTGGCTGACTTTTCTCGGCTTTCGTCGACTGAAGCGGCTAGCTGCGAGGGAGAGATTACAGAGGGCGAAGTCTACGTGGCATTGAAGAAGGTCGGCAGAGGTAAGTCGCCCGGTCTGGATGGTTTGCCATATGAATTGTACTTGAGGCTGTCGCACATCTTTGTCCCTATTTGACAGTTGTGTTCAACAACTGGTTCCGGCAGGGGGCCATCCTCGATCGGTTCACCAGGGGTGTGATCACGCTGTTGAAAACGAGCAAGGGTGTTGGGTGGGAATTAGATGATTACAGACCCATAACTTTTTGGCCAAGATCCTGCAGGAGCATTTGCAGTCAGTTGCTGAGTCTCTGTTGAGTCCTAAGCAGACTTGTTCTGTGAGGGGCCGAACAATTCAGAGCAACCTGCATCTGATCCGCACGATCATAGAGGGTGTAAAAGACGACGATGAAACCGCGCTGATTAATTTAGATCAGTCCAAGGTATTTGATAGTGTTGATTATCTCTACCTTGCTGCTGTCCTGCAGGCCGCCGGATTCGAACCTGACTTCTGCCGCTGGATTAGCCTTCTGTATCGCTCCCCCAGTGCTGTGGTACAGGTGAACGGGAAGCTGTCGGGCAATGCAGCGCTGTCTAGGTTGGTTTGTCAGGGTTGTCCACTGTCGCCCCTATTTTATGCTTTGGCATTGGAGCCTCTCCTTCGCCGGCTGAGGGACAGGGCGTGTAGTCCGACCCTACGTAGAATCGCTGTTCCTGGAGGGGCATGAGCCAGGGTTTCCACGTACGCCGATGACGTATCTACTTTCGTGTCATCCCGCAGCGACATTGAGGTGGTATTGAAGGCGCTTGATCGGTACGAAAAGGTGACAAGGGCTAAAATAAACGGTGATTAGGTGTCTGGAAGGGGGTCGATCTTCCGGGAAGCTTCGGTTGGACGGACGGTCCTATCCGCATTCTTGGAGCGTGGTTTGGAGCCGACCTCCAGCTGGAGAAAGATTGGTCTGAAGTACGAGCAAAGGTCGACGCGGCCGGTCAGACTTGGCGTCGACGGAGGTTGTCCGTGAAGGGCAGGGCGGAGGTGTGTGCTACATACGTTTTCTCAATTGTCCTTTATGGATTGTCCGTACTTCCTCTCTGTAAGGATCATAAGAAGCCGCTCGAACGCTCGCTGTCCTCCATTTTATGGAGGGGACACAATTATCAGATCGAAAGGAAATTCGATTATTGCGGGAGTTGTTAGGGACGCGTTCCCTTTCATTACTATCAGTCCCCCCATCTCGCGGGCTGAGCGCCGTCATAAGCCCCAGGATCAATCGGATTTCCTTTGCGAGTGTCGGTACGCCTTGACGATCATTCCTCGATCCAGTGAAATTTCACGGCCTAGCAAGGTCTTCTATTGTTATTTAGTGGAGGGGGGCGCAACGGATCCTCTACGTGAGCGGCTCGACTTGTCGGAGGAGGAGTTTCGCTATTTCTGGTTTTGGACACCAGTGGCGGATTATGTCAGTAACCCTGAGTTTTCGCTTAACTGGTGATTGGCTCGGAATCGGCTGCTTCTCAATGACAAGGCCTTCATATGGGGCCTGGCGGATTTGCCAGAGTGTGAATGGCGTGACCTTGGATAGAAGAAACGGCTTCGCACGTCTTCTACTATTGTCCCCGAGTCCACCCCTTATGGGACCATGTCGGTGAGTTGACGGCACCTCTCGCTCCCGAATAGTTCGTGCTCATGGATCGCGCATACGCGTGTGATAATGTGTCACCCCCGTATTCTGGGGTGAAACGAATGGTGTTTCTTACGCTGTTGGCCACGGCCCGAATGGTGATTTGAACGTCGCGACAGGAGGAAGTATTGCCAGGCAACCGTCTTTCTTATCAGGATCTGATTCGATTCTTTGAGCATCAGTAGAACTGATAGAAAATGTTTGCATTCGACAGTCTTCAGCGAAAGGTGAGTGAAAGAGGCGAACTTGGTTCGTTTGAACGGGGCTAGCCTTGATGTTCTATTTTAGGTCAACCAACATCGCATTGGGGTGGTTTCCCGTGGAGCCCTCCCCTTGGTTAGGTTAGACAAGCTAGTTACCTAGTTAATGTGAGTAAGTGTTGTTCCTTGCCTGTTCCCAGCTGCCTCTTTGGTTATGATCCAAGTTGAGATTCCCAACCTCCCCAGTTTGTTTTGTCCCCCCTTTTTCATCTTGACTGGGTCAGCTTTTATATTTTCCTTGCCTGTATATATTTTCTCCTTTCTCACTCCCTTAGTGAGAGAGCTTCTTGATTTTGTCCAATGGGCAGAATACAGGGGCCTCTCCTTTTTGAGGGTTGGACGGGCCCTACTAACATCAGTTATGTTTAATTTATTTTGTGTTCGTGTTTAGTTTGTTTTGGGGTTCATTCCCTTCCCTCTCATTCTTCATCTTTAGATTTTTATATATAATAACTTATTATCATTAAATTTTTATGGCATGGGGCGCGTTTTGTAGGACCCCCTTGAGAGTATGCGGTATTGTGGTGTATGGAAGATTGATTGGTGACGGACGAGTTTTTATGGTGAATGTGGAAATTGTAATGAATGAAAGGGTCGTGAATCGGATTAGCTAGGTATAAGATAGTGACGACCAGCTTCAACCCCTCCACATTCTGGCCTTGTACCGTAATTGTATTTTTATACAATAAATCTTGATTGTATTTTCTGAGGTTGGTGGACGAACACGCGTTTTTGCTCGTGAGAAGTGAAGGTTGTATGTGTGACCCCATTTTGTCGTTTCTACGTTGCCTGTTACAACGGACTACCGTTTGAACAGTGATTTGGCTACAAGTGTTGCGGTCGAGAGACAGGAAGAAAATCTATTGCAGATTTATTGCTACTATAAGTTAACAGTCTTTTTTTTTCTTTTCTTTACAAATACATTCTTGCACAAGTGTTTGACATACATCATCTTCCTTTTTTTCCCCAGGTAGCTTTCTCTTTCTTCTAATCCGCTTTTCCATTTCCTCGCACTTTGCTTTAACCATTTAAGACACCAGCCTATCCCTGTTTTGGTTAAAGAAAATTTTGGTCATATTCATGTGGGTTACACACACACACATCCAAACCAATACCAGGTTATTGAATTTTCTTTTGGATGAAATTTATTTGTCCCAGAATTTCTTCCCAGTAAAACAAATGTGACATGAAGGAGAAGTTTTTATTTGAAAGCAAAATGATTTGTGCATCCCCTCTTGTTTGAAGATTTTCTGAAGATGGGGTTAATGAATCGAGTGCCTGAATCACTCCTTGAAGTCCAGTTTTCATTGCACGAATAGCTTCATAGCATGCACTCCAATGGGTAGTTACCGAACGCTTCATCACGACCTTCACATGAAAGATAAAACTTCCCACTGGTGATTGGAAGAGAAGAAAAATGTATAGTCTCTCAATCACTCCGAAAAATGTAATGGCACTTGCATTCACAGCTGAGGCATGAACACCGAATAAATTTTAATTCAGACTATGATTAGAACATGGAACAAATTTAGCTTTCCCATTTATGTTTCATAGAAGATGTTGAACACCACCATGAACTCCAGCCATACTAGCCATATTGTCAAATCTCATCCTACATTTTTTTGAAATCAAGTTTCTCTTTCTCCAGTTGATCCAAAATCATCTTCTTGGTATCAAAAGCTGTCTTCACTTGTTCTGTGATAAAACCAAGAAATGATTCCTGCACCTCCACTTCTTTGTCTTCAACAACGACATATCGACAAATGAAACTCATCTGATCCATATAAGAAATGTCCGGTAATGCTTGAACAGGATCATATTTGCTCATAAATTCAACAAGTTCTATAAAGTTACCTTTATTGGAACTATATACATCTTCCCGATGACCTTTAAAAGGCAGTTTGTTTCGTCAGAAACTTCACGACATCAAGTAACCATGTTAAAACCTGTCTCCAAATCTGTCTTTCTTTCATAGTTTGTTCTTGTAATTTACTGTCAAGGGTTTTACTTTTATTAAAAGTTCATTTCCTACATCTTCCATTCCGTGAAAGTTTTTTTTGTGGTCAAACGAATTTTTATGTTCAGGCATTTTTTAATTAAGCTTTCAGAACTTTTCAAATCCTGGATTTCTTATTAGACTTGATTTGCGTTGCACTGTCTTCAGGATGAGGCGACAACAGAAACAATAAAGAGATTTGTTTGTCTTTGAGTGCAGCAACTATGATCTCAAAACAGTCTCTCTATTCTCCATAGTTTTTTAAAACCAGTGTTGTAGCATTACCCACGGACTATTTTCCCCCGGTCTTACAGTCGGAGCAAACGGTTCATCTTTGCTTTGAAGATCAACAAGCAACTGCCATGAGCAAATTTGTGGTCAAAATCCGATGTCTTCGTACACAGCAATCTTTGCCTGTTCTATTTCTTTATTTCCAGTAACTTCATCACTTCCTTTTTCATACCTGTCTTTACAGCTTGCACTGGATCTCTCATCCTTTGGCACATCAACATTGTCACCTTCAATTTCTTTAACAATGTTAATTCCTGCAGAAAATTCCTCTTCATTTCTATATTTGTCTCCACCATATTCACATTTTCTCCATGTTCCTTCCCTCCTAGTTTTGATGTACATTCAGCCTCCTCATCTTTGTATTTTGCTTTAACTTGTTGCAGCTAAAATAGGTGACACAAAGGCAAGGAGATGGCAATAGCAAAGAAATATGACAAACGCAGATGGTCCGTTGTAGACGATGGAAATCGTGTCTTTATTTGCGAATGGTGGATGGTAAGACGACAGAGGTCGTTTGTTCGGGAACGGTGTCCGGACGTTAACGGGCGCTGGACGTCAGTGGGCACTGGATTAGATCGTCAGCGGGTGCTGGAAGGTAGCGGGACGTCAGTAGAGCGCCGCAGGGGTGAGCTGGAGGCCGCTAGAAGCTGTTGGGGTGAGCTGGAGACTGCAGGAGTGCTGGAGGCTACAGGAGTGAGCTGGAAACTGCAGGAGTGCTGGAAACTGCAGGAGTGCTGGAAGCTGCAGGAGTGAGCTGGAAGCGGTAGGAGTGAGTTGGAGACTGCTGGAAGCTGCAGGAGTGAGCTGGAAGCGGTAGGAGTGAGCTGGAAGCGGTAGGAGTGAGCTGGAGACTGCAGGAGTGAGCTGGAGACTGCTGGAAGCTGCAGGAGTGAGCTGGCGTCTCAGAGGGAAGGCAGTAGCAAAGAGTGAAGTGAGTGGAGCCTTGAAGAGTGGTGATCGAATGACTTTCGGAAGTTAGCCCTGAAAAGGACTGTTTGAACAACTGCTGCTACTGCTGCTGGGTCCCGTCAGCTGCTGGGCTTGGTCGACTTGACTGAGCGCGTCAAAGTCGCGAATCAGGGAGGCTTCCTGCTCCCTGGCTGTTTTTAGGGAAGTGTTTGTCAATTATTTTGAAGAATATTTTCCCTATTTTTGTTTTTATTGTATTGTTGTAGGACGGGGGTGGGTTGAAACCAAATTATATTTATTTTTCTGTTGTTTTTGTTTGAATTATTTTCGTTATTTTCGTTTTTGTATTCTAGTTTGTTTGAATATCTGCTCTTTCTTAGGGATTCCTGTTTTTTTGTTTTCAGTGAATATTTTTAAGCTACTAGAATTTGTTGAAATTCTTTTATTTATAGATATAGGTATTTGTCTGAATATGTTAGTGGGGTAGTTGGAAGTTTTGTTAATGTATATTGTGTTGCTATTTGGTATTCTATATGGTTTGCTTGTCCGGTGTTTAGGTTGAAGGCTATATCTAAGAAATTTACCATTGTTTGATTGGATTTTATATTGATTTCAAATCCTACGGTTTGGAAGTTTTTTTTTATTATTTATTTTCTTATTTGGACTGTAGCTCTGCCGTTGAAATTTCTTAAATTTAATAGTCCCTGTATAGACCTACACCTTTAAGGAACCATCATAGCTACCCAATGTTACGTCAAAAATATTATTACTATTACAACCCTTTTTGTCAATATTTCTTTTATTGTAGTATAATATAGATGTTCATCAGTGTTTTATTATATTTATATCTTTATTGGAGATAGTCATGTACTATTTTGCTAAGTTTAATGCATTGTTTAGTGTATTCTCATTATATATATATATGTGTGTGTGTGTGTGTGTGTGTGTGTGCATATATAACTTTTAAAAGCTGAGTGCCGGTCTAACAATTTCATAGAAAATGCAATCTGCAGGGATCAAATCCAAACAGAGATAGTTAGTAGCCTGTTTTCCCTAATGCCCTTAAGAAAGGTAGGGATCTATCTCTCTTATTAGGTCAGGTCAGTTTCCTATTTATGTAACCCAGTGCAACATATTGCATATTTGGAAAGGAGCTGGGCACAGCTAGTTAACTCCCATTGTTCCAAGAATTGCCAAAATGAATCTATAAATAAAGTATACAAGATCAAGGAATATTTTTATTTTATGGCATATTCTCCTGGCTTCACTCTAAACTGATGCCTTTTCTTTTATGTATATTGTAACCTTTTTGCTAAAAGTTTGTATTTTCTTGATTTCAAATGATAAATTTTTCAAATACATATTAAAAGTATTTCTTTTGTAAAAACATAGTAAAATTATATTAAATGCAGGGTAAAAGTTTATTTTTTATAATAAAAGTATAAATAAATTTGGAGTAAAACCTTTTATTCATATTTATCAACACTGATATACACTGTCAGAATCGGACTATGATATGTAAAATGTAAATGTATCATTAATGATTTTACTATAGGAATATACTTACCTCATGCATATATTAACTCTATTCTTTAACTAATATTTGCCTTAATTCCTAAACAATGTTGATCCTTTTCATACTGGTTTTAATACATTTGTATTATAAAATCATAATTCATTTATCTTGAACATATATTAAAATTATTCTTTAAATAATACTTTGCTTAATTCTTTTCTTCCAATGTATATCATTGAGATTTTTAGGTAAATAGTTAAATAATTCTATACAAATTTTGGCAAAGTTTTACCTTTGTACCCACAAAAAACAGTGTGTCAAACAGGCAGTTTTTCACTTGACACTGCTATTACTATATACTCCCTTGACTTGGTAATGTTTATCGTTTTAAAAAAATGATGATTAGAATTTTAATAAAGCCCAAGCATGAAAGTGGATTTATACATTTCCTTTTTTCTTGAGAATTGACAACAAAGATATTAAACACTATTTATTAGTGTAGTATCATATGCAAAAGAGATAGTAAAATAATAATCAGGAATAGTAAAAGAAAAAACAAGGGTATACGACCTCTTTGATTCAGGGAGGTGTAGTATGATGCACAAATGAGATAGACAAGCATAAATAGAGAACAACTGGTGAACAAGATAGCATAAGTGAACCCATTTGCTAATGTAACATGTAGAACTGTGCTACAACTGCTACTACACAGAGAGATATACCAAACATAACAATGGCATTGCCAATAGGATCCTTAAATTTACTAGAAGACCCAGAACACTTAGAAACATGGATAAGAACTTTTGCTGCATTTGCAAGAGTGAAAAAATTAAGAGCTACAATGACTGAAGGAGGAGAGAATGAGATAAGGGATTTATTTCTTGCTACTGCTGGGTGTGAATCTGTGAAGAAAATTTTGACAGTGTGTTACCCAAGTGAATTAGAAGAAATGACATTTGAAGAAATTGTTAACAGTATAAAAAAGAACATAAGACCAAAGAAAAGATTGGCCATTGCTGAAAGAACATAGTTTTTAGAGACAAGACAATCACCCAATTAGTCCATTATACAATACTTACATAAATTGAAAGAACGAGCCAAGTATTGTAAATTTGAAAAGTTGGGAGCACAGAAAATGACTATAGAGGACAAATTAATTCTTCTCAGAATAATTGAAGACTAAAACCACAAACGAAAAATACTGGAATTTTTACAGAGTAATATCATGAGTTTGGAAGCTAGCATTGTGTTTTTACAACAGTCAGAGTTGATTAGAGAATTTAATCAACCAAAAGAAGAATTCAAGATGTACAGGATGAGCACAAAGTCCATAATTAAATGTATATACTGTGGAAAAAAACCATGAAAGAGACAAGTACAAATATCCAGCTCTAGAAAAAATATGCTTAAATTACGAAAAAAGAGATCATTTTCAGAATGTGTGCAAATACAAAAAGTAAATAGAAAGAGTCAAAAAAGTACAAATCCCCTCCAAAGAAGAAGCTGACATATTTACAGTGAATATGCAAAAAAGGAGGAGAGAAAAAATAAGGATACATGGCCAAATATTTAGCATGCAAGTTGATACTGGCAGTGAAATCAATTGATACCAAAAAATTTCTGGATCAAATTGGGAGGACCTAAATTAAAAAAAAAACAACATCCAATAAAAAAACAATTTGATGGAATGACTATAAAAATAATGGGTACATTTCAAGGCAATTTTGAAACTGATAAGTGTTTTGAAGTAATTCCGACTACAGTTGTAGAATGCGAAAAAGATCATGGATTATTAGGAATTGATGTATTAAAAGTAGATACAGCAAGACTAATCAATTCTATGAAAGCAGAAGAAAATGAAGTTGGATTATTGAAAGGCCATAAAGCAAGCATTTGACTAAAAGAAAATTATCACCTAAAATATATAGAGTCACGAAAAGTTCCAATTCATATCCTACCTTTTGCTAGTAGCCAAGTTAAAGAAAATGATACAAGGCATACTAGAAAAAGTAACTCAAGGTGGTAGCAATTAGGCATCATCAATAGTAGCGATAAAGAAACCTGATGGAGATTTAAGGATTTGTCGTGATTACAAGATAGGGGTAAATCGCCAGATATGTCCAGACTCTTTTCCTTTGCCAAATATCGAAACTGCGAGTCACGAGTTAGCAAAAATGGAACAATTTGCAAAAATTGATCTCAAGGCAGCATACAACCAAATAGAAATTGATGAGAAATTCAAGGAAATCACCATGATAAACACCCCTATAGGCTTACTTAGATGGACTTGTTTACTGTTTGGGGTAAATGCTTCAAGTCATATATTTCAGAAAGCAGTTGAAAGAGTCTTAGGAAAAATAAAAAAATACGATAATATACCAGGACAATATATGTGTAGGGATGAGAACCAGAGAAGAATTGAAGTATAAAACTGAGTAAATTTTAGTGTAATTGAAAAAGGCAGGTATGACTGTAAACAAAGACAAATGTAATTTTGACTGTAAGAAGATATCATATTAGGATATCAAATATTGAAAGAAGGCATATCACCCAATGATAGACTAACAAAGAAAATAACAGAAATAGCTCCTCCAACAAATAAAAAGGAATTCGAATCCTTTTTGGGGCTAATAAATTTTTATAGTAAATACATACCAAGATACAGAAACATAATAGAGCCATTTGCAAAATTACACAAGAAAAACAATGAATTTAACTGGACACAAAAAGCAAACTATTGCTTTCAAAATACTAAAGAAAATGCTGAGGAACAAACCAATAATAAAAGTTTTTGATCCACAAAAAGAAGTAAAATTAACCACACTGCTATTCTGTCACAAGAAGAACACCCAATCATGTACATATGAAGAAGGTTAATGTCAGCAGAAACTAACTACTCAAATATTGAAAAAGAAGCACAGGCGATTGTATAGAGCATGGAAAGGGCACAAAAGTTTTTGATAGGAAAAAATTTGTTATTAAAATCAGACCACAAACCATTGGAATTCATATTTATCCTAAAGAATTGCCAAAAGTCACATCATCAAGGATTTTAAGAAGGGTGATAAAGATCATGGCATTTGATTTTGACATATTATATGTAAAAGGGAACATTATCCCTCATATAGATGCTTTAGCAAGATTACAGTTCAAGAAAGAAACAGAAGAAAAACAGGAAAATGCTGAAGATAAAATAATACAATAGGTAGAAATTGATGTTCTTATTCTAAATAGACACAAAATAATAAAAAAGCAAGACCCAATATTAAGCAGAATAGTAGAGAGAATAAAAAATAATGTATGAAGCAATTGTTCGATGGCAGAGTGACCCTTTAAAGAAATGAAGCAGAAACTAATCATAGAAAATGGTATAATATACAATGGGAATATAATAGTAGCTCCACAAATACTGAGAAGGGACATATTAAAAGGAGTGCATGATGACATGCATTGTGGCATAACAACAACACAAAGAAGACTAAGGTTACAAGCCTGGTGGCCAGGATATTCAAAAGAT